TATCATCTCACTATTCAGAGATAACCTCAACTAATATTTTGGCATGTATTATTTCATATGTAATTAACAATGTTATCTATTTTCTTTATCTGTATATATTGAAATGGATTGGTATTATACATACTATTTCATATCCTGATTTAAAAAAAAAACTTAATGTTTAAAGAATATCCCTTCTGTCGCTGTTGTTTATATGCATACAGCTGCAGCATCTTAATTCCTGCTAAAGTTCCATCATGCACATGGGTCTTAGCCTAAGTCTCCTCTCTGGGAGGAGACCACAGGCACCTCCAGTTTTCCAATGCTCTTTTTTTTTTTGACCCTTTGTGTACATCTTTCCTGATCTAAGAAGCATATTTTAGAGTTTTTTGTGGCATTTTAGTGGTTTTTAAAAACATTTAACTCAATTGCCTCCCCGGTGGCGCAGGTTGAGCGCTGGGTTGCGACTGCCGAGGCCTCTGCGGCGCCGGTTCGACCCCGGCTTCTCCCGATCCCCGACACCAGAGGAGGGTCCTACATGGCGCGCAGACCTCTCCTGCCGCCCGCTGCTCCCCTCAGCAGTGTACTTCGGTCCTTCTGCCTGCTCTGCTCCCCGCTCTGGCTCTGGTGAATCCTCTCACCCTCCCGCGCTTCTGACTGTACCCAGTGCATGTATAAACAAACAAACAAACAAATAAATAAATAAAAACATGCCTCTATAAAAATATTAAAAAAAAAAAAAAAAAAAACATTTAACTCAATTGCCCTCTAGAAAGATCTGACATTTTTAAGGTCCCAAGTTATACAAGGGCACTATTTTTAAGCTCCCAGTTATACAAGGGCACTATTTACCTTAAACTTTTGCTACTGGTACTATCTTTAAAAAAAAAATTCCAGCATGATATACCTCTTTTCTATTTTATTTTAATTTCTTCATGACTTGCAAGGTAGAGTGTTAAAATGTATTTATTATTCATATTATTGATGGGATTTTTTTTCATGGTTTTGGGATGGTGTGGGATGTGAGAGGAATCACCAGAGACAGAGTGGGGAGCAGAACAGGCAGATGCAGTGAAATACACTGCTGAGGGGAGCAGCGGGCAAGTCAGGAGAGGTCTGATGTACCACTTGGGTTGCTCCCTGGCAGGGGATCAAACCGGTGCTGCAGTGGCTGTGCATAGCGTCATAGGTTGCATCTTAACCCCTTGCACCACCAGGGAGGCCCGATTTTCAAGCTTTTTAGGTAGTAAGGCTATATTACAAATAACTTCTCTCTTTTTAGTTGCTTTTTAAATTTTTTTATGGAGTCTTTCTTTGTTTACAAACTTAAACTTTTTGGCATCTGTCTATTAACCTTTCCTTCATGGGGTGAGGCTTTAGAAAATTAATTTTAAAATAAAGGAAATCTGCATTTTTACTGAATGAGGAAATATGTTCAAATTAAAGTTTAATAGGTTCATCATTTGTCTTAAAAATGAAACTATTGAAACTACTGCTTTTTTTTACTCTATGAGATTTTTTTGACTCCTTCATATTTATTTTCAAGTTATATATTGTACTTTTTGGAATATTTATCACTTTTGTTTTAAAGTGATAGTTAAAATCTAGAATCTTGCCATTCAGAGATAGTCCTGTGTTTCTTCATAGTTTTTTATGTAGATGCGTCATATTGGGGTAATTGTGTGTGTGTGTGTGTGTGTGTGTGTGTGTGTATCCTTATTTTTTTCTCATTGTATTGAAAACAAAGGGGATGGGAAATATGCATTCATCTATACTTGAAAGGTGGAGAGGTGTGGGTGGAGGAATAGGTTGATGAATGCTGATACAGAGGTGCACAGATGCTAGAAAAATGATATGTGCTCAACAAATGGTAGTTCTAGAAGGATGTGTGTAGTTAGATCAAAGCAGATAGGTGGGTAGAAGGATAAATGGAAAGAAAGAAAATTAGAAAAATAGTTCCAAATTGTTACTTGCAGTAACGAGCATTCTATGCTTAAAAAAAATCTAATGTCCTTTGCATGGTATTCAAGAATTTCTTTAATTTGATCTCAGAAAACATTTTTTAGATTTATCGCTTTCACTTAATCCCTTTAGTAACTCTGCCCCAGTCCCATCAACTTCATCATGTTGTTGTGATTGGATTAAGTGAAACCACATAAAATTGTTTTTATAGGTCAAAGGCTATTGAATACCAGACTAGCATTTTTGTATGGTCTGACCTAATGGATGGAGTTATACAGGGAAATAACGGGTAAATAGATGAAACAGTATAAAGATGGTTGCTTGGATAACGAGGTGGGCTGATGAAAAAATTGGTGGAAGAACCACAATGAGATAATACTTCATACCTACTAGGAAGGCTACAAAAATATACCCAAAGTGGAAAATTGCAAGTGTTGGAGAGGATGTGGAGAAACTGGAACCTTCATACATTAGTGGTGTGAATGTAAAGTGATGCAGCTACTGTGGAAAACATTCTGGCAGTTCTTCAAAAGGCTAAACATAGAATCATCATAGGACCCAGCAATTCTCCTCTTCAACATATACACTGAAGAATTGAAGACTGGACTACGGCACTTGTGTGACACTGTCCAGGCAGTGTTATTAACAACAGTCAAGACAATCCAAGTGTCTGTCCACAGATGATGGATAAACAAAATGTGGCATATCCATACTATGGAATATTATTAAGCCTTAAAAAGAAGTTAAATAATGACTTGAAAACAGTTTGCTAAGTGAAATAAACAGACACCAAATGACAAATATTGTATGATTCCACTTACATGAAATATCTGGAATAGGTAAATTCATGGAGACAGAAATTACATTAGAGGTTACTGGGGGCTGAGAGAAGGGAGAATGGGGAGTTAGTGCTTAATGGGTATAGAGTTTCTGCTTGGGGGATGAACATGTTTTGGAACTAGGTAGCGGTGATGGCTGTTTTGAGTGAAATTAATGCCACTGAATTGTATACTTGCAAATGGTTACAATGACAGATTTTATGTTGTAAATATTTTTTTCACAATAAAAATAATTCAAAAAATCGATGAATGAATGTCTGTGGACAAAGGGGGAATGAATGGATTTGTATACAGAGAGGTGAGTTGTTGAGCAGGTGTGATGTCCTGTAAAGAGTGATTCAATAAAGGTACATTAATGGGCATGAGGATGTGTGAGTGGGTGGATGAGCAGTTGCACAGATGGGATGAGAGGGAGTGACTGGAGAGATGGAGAGTATATGGGGTTTACCCATGGATAGAAGATGGGGAGGTGACAGTGGGTTTTCCTTTCACCTGCCCAGCCCCGGGGTGGCCCTAGCTTGCAGTGATTGAGAAACCCTCAGTCAAAGCCCCCCTCTCTGCCACAGGCTCCTTGCCCCTGGATCTCAACCACATGCCCAAGCCGGTCAAGACGGCCGAGAAGTGTTCCTTGGATCAGTTGGATGACACTTTCCACCCAGAGCGGTTTGTGTCCCTTTTTGAACAGAAAACAGTGAAGGGCTGGTGGCCCTGTGTGGCAGAAGAGGGTGAGAAGAAGACACTGGCGGTAAGTCTGCTGCCTCTAGCTGCTGGAGTGTGGGAGTGGCACTCCCATGGACTCACTAGGCACATGCCTGTTACGCTCCCTCTCCACCCTCCACTTTTTTTAAAATTTTTTTTAAGATTTATTTATTTATGTGTACAAGAACTGGGGTACAGGCCAGAAGTGAGGGGGGTCAGAGGATTCACCAGAGACAGAGTGGGGAACAGATCAAGCAGATTGACTGAAATACACTGCTGAGAGGAGCAGCGGGCGAGACAGGAGAGGTCTGCTGCGCCATGTGGGTTGCTCTCTGGCTAGCTGGGGATTGAACTTGTGCGGCAGTGGCTTCCAGTAGCTTCATAGTGCTGCATCTTAACCCCTTGCGCCACCAGGGAGGCCCCCACCCCTTACTTTCCTAGGCACCGTCTCTCTTCCCTTCAGCTGCCAGCCTTCCACTCCTTGAAACTCACACCCCTAGCAAACCTATTTACATCAAAAGATACCCTTATCTCCAGCGCCTCTATGGGTACTCTGCACTTCTGTTGTCACAGGGACCCATGTCCTGGGCTCCTTTCTGACCTGGGCCTCTTCTGGGGGGCTCAGCTTCAAGGGATGACCCTTGTACCAGTCTCCTTGCCCAGAGGTCTACTTAATGGTGCGAATGGGGACTGTGGGGAATCCACTTTCCTCTGGAGGGGAAGAGAATCCCTGACAGTTTACTTAGAAATGGCCTGCAGCCAACTAACCTCTAGAGTAGCCTTTGAAATAAAATGTCCTGGTTGTGTAAGGAATTATAACAATGATTAAGGTGTGCTATCACGTTAAAAGGAAGAGGGAAAGAGCATGCACAGATAATATGCAAAAGGTGTACAAATCATTAAACATTAAAAAAAGCTTTTTCCACTTAAGAGTGAAATAATGCACTATTTTAAAATGTGAAAACATTCTTTTTTGCTTGTTAAATCAGAATACAAAAATTGAAATTCTCCTTGCTGGTGAGGATGCAGGACAGGCCCTCTCATTTACTTCTGCTGGGAGCCCTAGTGGTTTTACACTTGAGGAAGCAATTTGTTGGGTAGTACGTAGGGGGAGATTCAACAATGTGTATGTCCTTGGACTCTCTCATGCCACTAAAATATGCCCTAAAATTAACCAGTTAAAATTAATAATTTAGGTTATAGGGTGTTTGTTGCAGCATTATTTAAAATATCAAAGAGTTGGAAACACCCAGAAAAACCAAAATAAGTAGTTTACTAAATAAATTATGGTCAACCACCCCACAGAATGTCTTGCAGATACTAAAAGCAAACCTTACACACTATATAACTAAGTGAAATTCCTAAGTGAATATTCCTAAGTGAAAAAAGCAAGCTATGGAACAAAAATTCACAGTGTGGTATTTCATATATTTACAGAGAAAAACAGGTCAGATACATACATAGGGACATTAACAGGACTTGTCTCTAGTGGAAGCATGGCTGCCTTTCTCCTTTCTGCACACCTGTCTGTAGTTTCTAAATGTTCTGCGAGGAGCAGGTACTGCTTTTGTAATCAGATCAACTATATATCTTTTCAAAAAAGATAATTAAGTGGCCCTGGCCTGGCCTGGCCCCCTTTCAAGCATGAGGCAGAGCCTTTGTGTCCCTGACAGTTTCCCTCTGTCCCTGCAGGGCAAGCTGGAGATGACCTTGGAGATCGTGGCGGAGAGTGAGCATGAGGAAAGGCCCGCTGGCCAGGGTCGGGATGAACCCAATATGAACCCCAAGCTTGAGGACCCCAGGTTAGTGTCACCTCTGACCCTTGATGCCTGCAGAGGAGGGCCTGGGGGTATAGCCACAGTCTGAGAGATACTCCGCTTCATAGATATGCAGAGGCCTCAAGACCCACGTAATTCACAGACAGATGTGACATGTCCAAGGTCACATGGTCTTAGGGAGCAGACGACTGGCATATTCTTGGGAACACCGGCTCATTCCAGGGCTCTCCTCCTCAGTTAATTCCAGAAGCAATCACCATTGGGCAGCTGTGAGCTGCATGCCAAGCGTCCCCTCGTATGGCATGTATATGTTGTGTGGTGGAATGTTCCCTGCCGGCTAATTGGTACTGTCCCCATTTTGCAGACAAGGAAATAATCTCAGCAAAGCTAAGTGAGGTCATTCCATTAAGAAAGAGGTGAAACTGTAATCCTCATTCCGGTCTGGTTGGCCCTGGAGTCTGACCAAGATCTTCCCCTAACCGAGCTGCCTTCTGTGGTTCTACTGTGGTGTCAACATGCCTTTAAACCGTCTTCATTATCCTAACTAGGAAATAGGGCAGTCCCTGCCTGTCCTCCTTCACACACCACTAAGGGGTATAGATGAATCCAGAGGAGACTGAAGCCTTGAAGGCAGTTACTGGGGACCGGATGTGTGTGCTGCTTCCTCCCCACAGCCATGTCCGTGGAAGCCAGACTCAGTGCAGGCAGTGCTTTGTCACGGTGCTGTCCACAGCACCATGGTGGCAGGGAGGTGAGAGGCCTTCCCATCCAAGGATGTTGGGAAAGAGCAGAGACCAGGGCACAGACCCAGCAGCTGCAAAAGATGTGAAACAGTCGTTATAGAGACACCAAATGCTGCAAGCTCTTTGGGTTTCCAGGCTGACTGGGGAAAGGTTTTGAGGTTCTTGACTTTCTGGGTTTACCTCCTGTTATCCTTCCCGGTCCATGCACCAGCTTAGGCAAGTGGTGAGTCTTATCTGGGGCTGAGTGGGCCACAGCTCTCTTAATATGGGCTCCTCGAGGCTCTACCTGGCTCCCAAATCTCTAGTCGGTGATGAAGTCCTGGGTCAGGAAGAAGAGGACGGCAGGAAAGTGTCCTGGACTGGAGTGGCATGTTTAGGGCTTGGCAGCATAGGGGGCACAAACACTGTAGCAAAGACTGGGAGGAGAAGGGAATAAATTTTGGGGGTAGGGGCTGGGGCCTTGGGGGGGCGACAGTGGAGGGCCAGGGATTCGGCAGCAAGGCTTGGGCAAAGAAGCCTTGTAAGGGGTACCCTGCTGACCAATGGGGTCTTCCTTTCAGGCGCCCTGACACCTCCTTCCTCTGGTTCACCTCCCCGTACAAGACTATGAAGTTTATCCTATGGCGGCGGTTCCGGTGCACCATCATCCTCTTCCTCATCCTCTTCATCCTGCTGCTGTTCCTAGGCATCTTCGTCTATGCCTTCCCGGTGAGCAGGCCTGAGGGGGCAGGCACAGATCCAGTCTTGAGGGAGCCCCTGGTCTAAGAGGGAGACATAGCCTGTACTCTTGGGAAGTTCTCAGTCCAGTGGGGGAAACTGAGTTCTTGCTCTTGATGTGAGATATAGCTGTCCTCAGCCAGCCCTTGGAATATGTAGTCAGAAGGCCAGGCTCCTTGGACAGAGATGGCAAGGGTAGCAGGGGAATCTCCTTGAAGGAGGATTTCTCTTGGGTCTGGAAAGGAAGGAAGGTGTGGGTGGCAGAGCAGAGGGGAAGGTCTGTCTGTTGGTGAGGGTGGAACCTACTAAGACCCCCAGGAAGGGACGACCTAGGGCCGAGAGGGTCTCAGTGTCCCCCTGAGGACTTGATGGAGCGTGTCCTGCCTCCTGCAGCGGGGCGGGCATGGGGGAAGGTATAGGTGAGCGGGATAGGGGGGTTAGGGGGTGGGGAAGCTGGCCCAGGAGTCTCTTACTTGGCAGGGGCTACTCCGGAGGTCCCTTTCACCTGACAAAAAGCCAGCTGATAACTGGCAAAGGGCTGCCAGGGCCACATTTTGAGGGTGTGGACCCTCACTTGCAACTCCCCTCACCCCCGCCTCATTAGGGCCCCTCCCAAGGGAGGAGGACCAAAAGATCTTCCTTGTCTGTGCTTCTCAGTTCTCATAGCTCATTAGGGGAATCCTGGGGATGCTCCAGTTCCCCATGTTCCTGAAGCTTCAGACCTTGAAGGGACCGAAGGGTTCCCAGGCTGGTACCTGATTTTTAATGTGAATTAAAATTTAAATTAAAATTTTAATATGAAAATTTCAAATGAACACCAAAGTAGAGAGAATGGTAAAATCAACTCCAGGTCACACCTACTGGCAAAGAAATAGACACCAGAGAGGGGAAGGGACAGGTTCAGGGCTACATGACACCCTGCACACAACTCCCAGGCTGGGGCCACTGTGGCCTCAGTCCCAGTCAGCACCAGGCCACCTGTCAGAGGCACTGTGCCTGCAGCCTGGGAGTTCCTGGCCTGTGAGCGCTTTGCTTTGTGCATCCTCCAGGAGGAAAAGGGGGACAGGATGGAGAGCCCCCTCGCCCTGTGGCTGGCCAGATGATATTAGCAGAGAGAGCCAGTTACAACCACATGCCACCCCCTCTGGTCCTTGGTTTCATGAACTGTGGGGTACAGCAGAGAAAGGGGTCTGGCCTGGACATGCAAGCCCCAGGCACCCTCTGTGACACATGAAGCAAAGGAGGCCCTGGAGCCAGGGTGGTGATGCTGGGCTGCAGGCCAGGCCCTGGAAACCCTTGGAGCCCACGGCTGCCTGGAGTGCCCTGCTGACCGTGTGCTGAGGCTCCGCAGAGGTCACGGCCTATTGGCAAAATGTGGCTGCTGTCTAGGGGTGGATCCAGATTGTTGAGATCTGAAATTTGGACAATTGGGGGGCCCTCTTGAAGCAAAGGAAGACGAAATTACAAATACAAGATTATATCCGGGACATTGGAAGGGCGGTTACTGTGTGGGGCCTGGAGATAAAGCTGCTCCCAGTGGTGACTTGGGATCTGAGCTCTGGCCCAGGACTTCCCCTCAGTGTTTTCCCCGTTGGGCAGGCCCAAGTTGCCCATCGGAGTCGGGAAGGTATGATTTCCCTAGCCTGGTCTGCCCTCAGGCTTGCCTTCTCTCATTTGAGTGTACCTAGCTGCCATTTAGCTCAGGAGGAGACTTGAAGCATGAGGTGAGGGTGTACTGTGAGGATGTGGGAGAGGCTTGTGAGCTGGTGCTGCTGGGGAGCTCGGTCTACTGGGGAACATGGGAAACCTAGGGTACATTGAGATGCTCCATCACGAGGTTCAGGGTAGGTTTAGGCAAAGGAGGGCCGGTGCACACCCTTGCTCCTCAAGGAGGTAGAGCAGCAGCACCAGTACCCGTGAGCTGTCTAGAAAAGCAGAGTCCTGCGCTGGCCCCAGGTTGCTGAGGAGAATCGGCATTTGGGCACATTAAGGTTTAAGAACTGGTTTGCCGGCTGGAAGTCTGCCCTTGGAGTCAGGAAATGTTGGCCGGGTTCCTGCTCTGTCTGGGACTCACTGTGTGATCTTGGTGAGGCCTTCCTATCTGCGTGAGTGGGGGCTGGACAAGGTTAACTCTGACCTACTGTGACTGTGCTGAGGAGATCTCTTTCCCTTCTCTGGGGAAATATCTCTCTTGGTTGCACATCAAATCAAGCCTCCTCCCGGGGAGCCCAGGGAAGGAAGGAAGCAAGTTGAAAGTGATGTCACCACTGCCCCTTTCTCTGCCTAGTCCCTGTCCCTGCTGGCTAGGTGCTGCCCTGCCAGGCAGGTGGGCCACAGACTGGGCCTGCAGGAGCTGGAAAGGAGGCCCCGCTGTCTAGCTGGAAGGTGGAGGGGAGCTCTTCATTCACTTTCAGACTGCGAGCTTCCAGTGTCCCGGGGTAGCTCAGCCCAGGCCCCATGTGCGGGAGCAGAGGAGCCCTTGGGCCAGTAGCCCCAGTCAGAGCACGGCCCCTGCTTTCTGGGCCCCAGCCATGGCATTGCACTCCTTGAGTTCTCTTGGAAATTGTCCTTTGAAAATACCAACTTTGCCCTCCTCTCTCAGTGTTGGCTTGTGGGGGTCAGGTCCTTGGTGAGGGGTATCAGAATAGCGGGGCTGTCTGTGCCTGAGGTGAGGCTGCAGAATGTTTTGCTACAAGATGGGCAGTTCCTGCTTCCCTCCAGCCAAGTCCCAGACCTGGTTAACCTCACCTGACTTTTAGGCCTTGGGGACAGAAAGCCTAAAGAGAAACCTCTTCCCAGGTGTGGCAGAAGGGGGACCCAGGGCCAGGGCTCTCCCCTCCAGTTGGCCTAACCTCCCACCCTCTTGGAAATTCCCCTGGGAGGGGGACAGAGAGGAAAGACTGTTTGATTCCTCTCAGCTCCCCCCAAAGCCAGCCGGGAGCAAGGCCAGCGTGGGGAGGCAGCAGGCGATCTGGCGGGGAAGGAGCGGCCGGCTTTGTTTCCAGAGTTGGCTTTCCCCGGCAGGCGCTGGGGAACATACTGTCCCAATTAGGAGTCCTGTGTTGTGTTGTATGTGTTTTCATGGTTTGGGGGGTGGTGGTGAGTGGGGAGAGGAGATTCCTGTCAGTCCTGAAGCAGCCAGGGCTTAATCAGAGGTGACCCGCTGGCTTGCGTCCTGGGTCATCCCTGTACCTCCCTCTCCCCCACCTTCTCCCTGCTCCATGTACAGGAGCATGGTGGCCAGTGAGCCCCAAGTTCCAGGTGGTGGTGTGTGGGAGGGGGCTTGGGGGGCAATGGTGATTGTGCCTTCAGACCACCTGTCTGATGGAAGAGGTTGGGTAGGTCTGCCGCTCACCAGGCCCCAGGTCCTGAGTCTTGGCAGCAGGTCTGAACGTGGGATGAGCCTCCATCGATAAGGGAGAAGACAGCAATTCAGGCAGCTGCAGCCCCAAGCAGGAGGTGCCTGTGGGGTTTCAGCAGGGTGCGAATTTGACTGATGAGAGAGCACTGGGAGGGGAGAAGGTTCTGCTGAATGTGCATGGGGGTAAGGAGGGCAAGGAGCCAGCAGGTGTCTGAAAAGATGAGTCTTCTTTCCCAGCTTCTCCTCCCAGCAGCTGTCACACCTGTCCCTCCTCCTGCCTTCCAGAACTATGCTGCCATGAAGCTGGTGAAGCCTTTCAGCTGAGGAAGCTCAACGCAGGCTGCCTCTTCTGCCCTGCTCCACTGAGCTCCTCCAGACTCCAGCCTGACTGTCCTGCCAGGGTAGGCAGAGAGACAGATGGACATACTCTAAGAGTTGGTAACATTGAGCCTGGGATCACCCTGCTTTCATCATTTCTTCCCTGCCCCCAACCCAATCCTTTTTGGATCAGCCCATATATATTTCAGTATAAAACAGTTGGAACCACGAGGTGGTGTTGGTACGTGTCTCTGTAGTGTCTGAGTGGGGTGTAACTGGTTGGGGGGAGGCTGTGTCCAGGGGCCTGTGTATTACTTCTGGGTCAGTGTTCTGAGTTCTGGGGTGGGGGTTGGGGGAGGGTGGGCCTAGAGACCTGCCTAAAGATCAAGCACATTCTGCTTCTCCAGGATTTTCCCTTCCCCCCTGTGCCTCTGGTTTCTTTGGCCACACCTGGGAAGAGGTTCCTCTTTATACATATGAACTCTCCAGGAGAGGGCTGGCCAGTCACTCTCCAGGCAGGGAACTTCCTGGACCCCTGGCTGTGACATTGCTCCATGCTCTTGGGATTTCTTTAGGTTCCCTCCCTCTGTTTCCTCACCCTGCTTTAAAGATCTAGTGTAGACAAAACACACCTTTTTCTGTGGTCTAAAGCTTAGTTTTAGCCATGGATCTGACATCTCCTGAAGGAATCGGGATTCATCTTTGGAAGCAGCAGGAACATACTGAAGAAAAAAAGCAGAGTATGAAAACATCATATTTCCAATGGCCTGAGGGACTGGAACTCTGGAGCACGGCTCTGACTGCTTCCTACCCTACTACCCAGGAGGGCTTCTCCTATTTCCTGCTGTGAGGCTGTTCCCCTGGCCCAGGCCTCAAGGCTACAGAGAGATCCTCCCAGGTCCCCTGGCCCTTTGCTGTACTGTGGGACCCAGACTGAGGCCCTGCCTCATCCCCTTCTAATTGGTGAAATTGGGGGCAATTTCAACAGATTTGATCATGTCCAACAGAGTGATTGTCTCTTCCGGAGAGGTTCAGGCTGGGGGTGGCTCTCAATGTATAGCTCTCTTAGGTCCTGGGAATTCTGAAACCCTGGCAAGAGACCTTCTTGGAAGGTCAATCTGGTGATGAGTCTGCCCTGAATACTCACTGGGCGTGTCGTGTAGAGGCATTGAGTGTCCCAGGGAGAAGCCCAGAGGCAAAAAGAAGCAAGAGGTGTAGAGGCACTGAGAGTCAGCTCTCCCAGGGAGAAGCCCAGAGACAAAAAGAAGCAAGAGATGGTGCAGCCGGCTCAGGAGGTGCCAAGAAAGCTTTAGAGGCTAGGGAGACCTGAGCATTTTCGAAGGAAGAGAAGAGCCACTGCTGAGGGAAAGATCAAAGACACAGGAGAATCAGTTTCTGGAGAAGTAGGGGAGGGTGTTAGCTTTGGAAAGAAAGTACTTTTTTTCTTCCAAATACAGGAAGCAAGAGGAAGTAAATGCATACCATGCAACTATCAGCCAGATTAAAAGAATTTTGGGGGACATTGTGCCCACGCTTTAATTTTTTCATTTACTCATTTGTTTTTTCCTGCTGCTCTGAGTTATAGGTAATAGAAAACCTTACTCAAACTAGTAAAGGAAATTTAATGATTTAAAGGAAATGAAACAGTTAGAATGACTGGCTTCAGGCAAGGGCTGATCCAGCTTCTCAACTATGTCACGAAGAACTTGCATTCTCTCTCTACTCTATCCTTTGGGTTGGCTTTATTCCATAGCTGGCTCCATTATAGAGCTAGGGTTGAAGCTGCTCCCTTGGGCCGTACAGGCCTCCAAGCAAAACTCACAGGCAGTGAGAGTGCGGATGGCAAAGAGACATCACATCCGACAAACACTTGTTGAGACACTCCACTTGGCTGCCCCAGAGAAGGTCCTGAGGCAGTGAATTACATATGGCTCCTGGCCTTCCATGGGTCTCAGTGTGGAGGTAAGAGTGTGTTAGGAGACCATGGATGTTTGTACCCTGTGGGAAGAGGAGAGAAGGAGCACCAGCTGCCCTGGGGCAGAGAGCTATTGGAGTCCAGTGAGCCTGCAGGGAAGCAGAGGTGAGAGGAAGAGGAGCTGGGAGGGCCAGACCATATGCTGAAGGGCCTTGTGCCTATAGCTGAAGTTAAACTTCATTCTGGTGGCAAGGAAGAGGTGTGGGAGGACTTGAAATTGGACTGACAATGATCAGAAGTGTGGGTTTTGAAAAATCATTCTAGCTTAGTTCTGATAGGAGTCCTCTGGAGGCAAATGGGTAGGTTTCAGGTTGTATAAAACTTGAGCCTTTTACACATATTAAAAAAACTACAAACAACAAATGTTGGCGAGAATGTGGAGAGAAAGGAACTCTCCTGCACTGCTGGTGGGAGTGCAAACTGGTCCAACCACTATGGAGAGCTGTGTGGAGATTCCTCCACCTACTAAATATAGGGCTTCCATATGATCCAGCAATTTCACTCCTAGGTATTTACCCAAAGGACACAGAAACATCAATTCCAAAGAGCACCTGCACCCCTATGTTTATAGCAGCACAATTTACAATAGCTAAGCTTTGGAAACAACCCAAATGCCCCAAAATAGATGACTGGATCAAGAAGATGTGGTACATATACACCATGGAATATTACTCAGCATTCAAGAAAGATAAACACATGCAATTTGCAGCAACATGGATGGAGCTGGAAGGGATCATGCTCGGCAAAACAAGCCAGAAAGAAAAAGAAAAATACCAGATGGTCTCACTCATAGCAGGAATCTAGAAAACCTAAATAAGGGACCAGGAAAAAGAATAACTATAAGAAAGAAAAAAAATCAAAATCAACAAACAGCTATGAATCAGAGACACACTTGGGAGGAGGGCAGGGAAAGGAGGGGTTGGGGTCAAAATCAGGGGGTTGCAATTGTATGGGAAATATAAAAATAAAAAAAAATAAAAAAAAAAAAAAACAAAAAAACTTGAGCCTTTTAGAAGGTGAAGGTCCAATGATCTCCCCAATTCCCAATAATGTATGTGGTCACAAGTGGCAAGGAACAATTGCTCAGGGTGACGAGTGCAGAGGGTTCACTAGTCCAGGAGTCAACTAGGGGAGATCGGAAAGGCAACACAGTTGTCATTCATTCATTTATTCATTCACTTATGCCTTTCATTCATTGAAGAAATCTATCTATCTATATCTATCTATCTATCTATCTATTTATTTATCTATCTATCTATCTATCTATCTATCTATCTATCTATCTATCTATCTATCTATCTATCTATCTATCTAGGTCTGTCTATTTATCAGACAGGGTGCTGGGCTCCAGAGAGCAAGATAAACATGGTTCCTGTCTCTCCCTCCATCTCCCAACCCTGAGCTCGCAATTGAGTGGGACAGGGACAAGTAAATAGGCTGCTACAATACACTGGTGGGGGAGCAATGGTTGCAGGTCAAGGGCAAGAGGTGGAAAAGACAACAGAGCAGACAGAGTGTGCAAAGACAGAGGCCAATTCAAATATCTGTAACAATTTCCTCATGGGCACAGAGCGATGGTTCTGAACCAGGGGTAATTTTGCTAGTCTTCTCCTCACCCCCGGGCACATCTGGCAATATCTGACGATGTTTTTGATTATCATGATTCAGGGGATAGCAGGGTGCTACTGGCACCAGTAACTGCTAAACATCCTTCAAAGTTCAGGACAGTTTTTCCTGCCTCTGCCCTACCCTATCCCCCTCCACACACAGAGGATTATTGAGTCCAAAATTCCAGTGGTGCTACGATTGAGAAACTAGCATAGAAATGGAGAATTGCAGTGACACTGAGCAATTAGACTTGATAGGCATGGGAGACTGACTGGGTAGGTCTGAGGGGGCTAGACAGCATGAGAGGGGAGATAAACTCAATTGTCTCCCAGTTGTTTGGCTTTGTGAATGGTTTGAAGTTCTGACATGTTTGCCCTCCATCTACTCCTGTGGTTATGGTCTCTCTTCTTCTGTCACAAAGTTCTAGAGAGCTTCATCTACACTTGCTATCTCCATAGTCTCACCTCCCACCCGCTTCACACACTGTGGTTTGATTTTATGCCTCTGGCAGACGCTGTGGATCTCCTTCTCCAACAGCCACCCCCTTCCTTTCCTTGAAAAAAGAACCCTGGTAAGTTCATCTTTCCCTAAGGCCATGTGCTGAGAAGGGAGCCATCTCCAGCCCTAGGTGCCCGTGTCCTGCTAGATCAAATCAATCACAGTGAAGTCATTATCCTTGCCAGTGATTGGTTTAGGAAGAGACTTTGGACTCATTTATGGCCAATGAGATGTGAGGGGGAGGTAGTGGAGGTTATTTGGGAGGTTGGGCTGGAGGCAGGAAAAGATTCTAGGGAATTTTTGTCCCCCAAAGCAGAGGACACACAGCAGTTCAGAGCATCTTCACTGGACACTTTTGTTCTGTTCCCTTGAAAACTTTTTTTACTGCAGTGACCAATAACTAGGGCTGCCGTATGAGGCACCACATCTAAGACATCACGATTTATTATTTATTGTAACAATTCCCCACAGATGGCAGTAAAGTGTTTTGTTCTAATAAAATCAGAGTTACAGTAGTTTTCTGATAGACGTAAACTACCTTGAGGAAGGGTCACCTTTTTCTAATTCTCACCAGGGCCCCACCTAGCCCTGGTTGTTAAATCTGTGCAGGCTTCTCCTTCTGACTCAGCAGCAGCTGGCAGCCTGGATCGCTCTGCCTCCTGGTGCACTTACTGTAGCCTTTGGCTTCCATGATACCACAGTGGCCCGACTGGCCTCCTCTCTCTAGCCTCATTTCTTGGGGTCCTTCCCTGTGGTCTGTAATGTTCCCTGAGGCTCTTGCCCTGGTCCTCTGTACTTCCCACGTACATTCCTCCCTAATAGCCCTCCATTCTGGCACCCACTCCTATGACTTCGTTGCCCTCCAGAGGCTATTGACCTTGGATCACCACCTCCAGCCTGTGTCTGCTGTAGACATGTTATCCACTGTTTACCCGTGTTACCCAGTAGGCATCTCCCGCAGGGTGACTCACAGGCACCACGAACTCAAACTTCCCACTCTATGTGTCCATCTTTCACCCCATCAAAATAGTTCCCGCTCTGTTGTGCCCTCGGGCACTGGACTTGTGGGAGGCATC